GTCACTTCCTGCAGACTCTAGCGGGGCAGGGCAGAGTGGCCCATGCCAACAGCAGCAGTTCTCCAAGTGCAGGGTCCCCAGTTCCTGTAAAAACTGCCAGCTCCTGGGTCCAGTGGGAGCCTCCCTCCACCTGCTGGGCCCTTTCTGGTGACCGAGAGCAATGCTTCTGCCCAGGCCCAGCACCTCTTAGCTGTGGAGCCTCAGCTCCAGTCTCTCAGAGGTTAGTGCTACTAACTTTAGAAGCAATAATTCACATAAGACTTTTCGAGCTGTGCTGGCCTGTAACCAACCTTCAGACTTCGCTACCTTTTAAACAAATGCCTCAAGCTCTTGCAAAACTTAGAGAATCTCTGTGCCTGGGGATTTATCAAAAGCTTTCGGGGAAACTTGCTTCCCCACCTTTTCAGGGCCTGAGTAAAGTGGAGAACAAAACCCAATGTCATCCTTTTCCGTGTGACACTGGAGACAAAGCACTCCGGGCAGCCTCTGCCTCCCTGGGTCCCGCTGGGTGGCAGTGGAGGGTTCACTGCCTCTGATGCAGAGAATGAGGGGTTCATGGGCACCAGCCTTTCAGCCAGGGGACACCCACCACACGGGCCCACTTCCAGTGAGCTCCTCAAGATGCTTTCCTGTGAGTCTTTTGGAAAATATCCAGGAAAACAAGACTTTGGCCAATAAACAACAAAAAACAAAACAAAACCACAGAAAAACAACAGCCAAATCAAATGAAGAACAACCAGACTTGGTGTCATGTTTTGTTTCCCTCCCTCAGATGAGCTATCCATTTCCCACTTGATGGGTGCAGCTGACTCCTGGTGTAATACCTGCCCTGAGCCGGAACAGCCTCTGGGGGCAGAACCCAGGAGTCAGGGCTCTGGGGGACCCCAGGGAGGCAGTGTCCATATCCCTCTGAGGCACAGTCCATCGTTGATGATCACCTTTTGAATCAGGGGCAGGTTCTTGGGCATCCTTCACTCCATGGTTTTCCGGAACAATCCTAGGAACAATAGCATGCCATATGTCATGACCTATGATCACAAAGAACCCTCTAGGCTGTCCTTTATTCTCCTACCCACTGCATATATGTACAAAAGAAATTAATTTCCCTTCAGAAACAGGGAGTCAAGAATGATTCAATCACTGTAACCACCGAGTCCACAAAGCTTCTATTTGGATGAAATGCTGTTCACTAAGCCTCTGCTGGGACTGCGTATGCGGAGAGCCGACCACTTGGGCCTGAGCTTAGCTTTGCAGCCTCCTCCTCCTCTTTCCCCTGGGGCAGTTGCACTTGTAACTTACTGAAGATTCTCTGTCAGCTGTCACTTTCCTGGGCAGGTCCAGCCCACATGCCCCCATTCAGGCTGGGAGCCAGGCCATGCCGGGAGGCCCCACTGCTTTAGGTGATCTGCTGGATCCTCTGCACTTAGGCCAACAATGTTCCCATCGCTTCTTAAGAAGGCTGCAGGTTGTCACCAAAGTGACCCTCCGCTGAATCCCGGTGGTGGGGAATCATGAATCATTTTGAGCCAGACAGCCTCCTTCTGAGAATGCCAAGATTTGATCAAAAGAAGAGGCCACTGCAGACATTTGGGAATAAACCCCACATGCAAACAGCGCTCCCTCCTCTGATAACCACAAGGGCCTCAGGACCACCAGTTCAACCCCTAACGGCGTTCTGTATGCATGGGAGGGATGGGCCAGAGTGCACTTGGCTTTCAGGAGATGCTGTTGTATTTTCTAACTGTCTAGGTACTAGTTGACAGTCAGGGACACAGGGTACTAAGTAGTCCCTGCACAGACCAATGAGAAAGGTCCAAGTGTGGGAGCCCACTTTATGCAGCCTGGATCCATAAGAGGGAGCACTGCACCACTGGGAGGCTGGGAAATCCAGGAATTAATGAGGTCCCAAACATTTCCTGGAACATAGCAGGCTCCCTCCAGCCTGCAGAGAAGCCCAGGCCATCTCTGCCAGGCCTTGAGCAGCACTGCGTGCAGTTTGTTGTTATGTCTCCATGTTTGCTGTCTCTCCAACCAGACTCTAGTCTCTAGGAGGTGTTGTTTACGTCTGCATCCTCAGACCTGGTGTTTCCTACCTGTCATGGCAGACCATCAAGGATCAAGGGGACAAGTCCAGAGTGTGTGTGTGTGTGACAGTATTAATATGAATTTCAGCCTGTGATACAAAGGGACAGATGCTTTCATGTCCAAAGGAAGTGCTAAACACGGTGCGGTACAGGACTTACAGATGCCATGCTTGGAAGCCAGCTGTAGTTGTGGACCCTTCAACATGTGGCCAAGAGATTAGGAGTTGGAAGAGGGTTGGAGGACAGAATGTCGTGGGAATGAGACCCACCCTAAGGGACAGAGGGGACTTTCTTCACCTCTGGACTAGAGAATGGACGAGAACCTCTCCGTCTAGGACGTGCCCATGACTGTGTCTAGGAAGACATGGACCATGACTGAGTGGTCCTAGGAAGCTCTGATGGACTGTACTGATACCTAAAAACGCCAGGGGCAGAGGCTGAGCGTGGCTCTGGGCCCACAGAACTGGAAGCTGTGGTTAGGACTGTCACTGGGCTGCCAGGATTTGAGGGGCAAAGAATACTGAATGTTGCTCAGGGATCAAAGAAGAGAAAGAGAATTGTCACGGGGTTTCTCAGATCCTGTTTTATAAAGCTACTTGGAAGGCTGAGCAGACCTCAAGCAGAGAAGCCAGAAAAATAGCCCAAGAGCCCAGGCTGAGAGTGACCACAAGCAGGAGGAGCAGATATGACCTCCCTCACAGCGTGAGGGTGCAGCGTCCAGGGACGGGGGTGGGCGGGGAAGCAGCAGGGAGCTAACAATCCATCAGCCACCAGGAGGAAAGCCAGGGGGCGCAGCGAAAGGAAATCAACGCAGAGCAGACCCGCCCCACCGCACACGCAAGCCATCCCACCCCACGCAAGCCAACCACACCACAGCTAAACCACAACAACAAAACAAATCACACCTCCCTACCACAACACTAAAAGCAAGAGAAAAAAAAACATGAAACACAAGAAACAAGAAGAAAAAAACAAAGCAAAGAGAAGACAACCCAACCCCAGCCCATCCCACCCCACCCCAGCCCAACCAAAGGAAAAGCAAGCACCCCAAACCAAACCAAGCCCAGACCGCACAGCGCACTCGACGCGAAACTGAAGAGGAGAAGACAGGACCTCACCCAAACCAGAAAAAAAAGCCTTACAATTGCCACAGGTTTTCATCCTGGATAAGAGAAGAACTAGCCACACTCAATAACCAGAAAGGACAGTGAGCATAGAAACACTTGCTTTGAGGTGACCTCTTGCTGAGCTTGTTCGGTGGATTGTGAGTATGTGGATGCATATTTGTCAGGCGAAGGCTCACCCCTGGGAAATAGATTTGGGATCTGGCAGGTGAAAGAAGACGTGAGGCACAGTTGGGATAACAGACATGCTTTATTCAAGGGCAGCAGCAGCCCCCAGCTAGCCCACCTGAGTCTTTCCAGAGACCTATTTTATATGCCGGCCAGACAAAGAAAGCCCAATGCCAACAGGTTACGTAAGTGGGCACATGTTCAGGGGTTAATGACCCTGAGTACCTAAGCTGAATCAGGGTGTCCATGACCTTGACTTCATACTAAAAACAGTCCACTGGGAGCCTAACTATAGCCATCTTGGGCCTCCAGTATTGAGAAGGCATCAAACTCACTTTCAATTCCAAAGCTCAATGATACTTTCCGGTGGCTATCTGCTGACAAGGGCCACCCATTCCAGACCCTGGATTTCAAAACCTCCTCAAGGGTTGCCCACCTGTCTTAGCCCAACCCCCAGATCTCTGGATGTATGAGGAACTCAGGTCATCCACCATTTAGCACACGGTCCTCTCTAGTCCCATGCCCAATCCAAAGGCCTGAGGGAGACCCTGGTGAATTAAGAGTGTAGCTCCATTCCCTGCAAGTTTTGTCGGCTCCAGAGAATTCAGAAAGCATAAAAGTCCCCTTGTTTTCAAGTACTTACAGTCCTGTGGAATCCCCGAGTCTCAGGACCAGGGGACCAGGGATCGCCCCAGGGGATGAGGTTCTGTTGAACAGTGGGAGGCCAATGTGTCTGCCTTCTTGGAAGACCCATGGATGATTCCCCCATGCATTCCTGTTAAGAGCTATAGAATGAGAGGACGTGTCAGATCCAAACTGCCAATCAACTCAGTCTTGCATTTCATCTTGTTCCCACCCCCAGTTTTGACACCTTCAAAACTCAAGGAGAAGAGAGAAAGATAAAGGCATAAGACTTGCAAGTGATGGGGGCTCCATGCTACCCCCAAATCCAGGTAGCATAGCCATAGTCATCTGGGAGACTCAGGATAACGTATAAATGTAGATTGTACAAGGGAGGACTGCACGCACAGTCAGCCTTTCTGAGCCTCAGTTTTCCTATCTGGGTAAGAATGACAGCACAAGACTCGTGGGACTCAGTCAAGGAGAGCTAGTGCCTCCAGAGTGATCGGGGCGGCCCCGTGCTCTCCTGTGGGGCTCTCAGTAAGTGCTGGCTCTTACTGTGCTTGTGTTTGTCATCTTTGTCCCTCTGAGGCTTGCTCTGGTCAATGTCAACTGACAGTGGTGAAAAGCAGGGTCAAGAGAATGTGTCCTGGCTTGCTAAATATACCCCTCTAGTTAAGAGCAGGGTTTACTGAAGTTTACACTAGTTTTATAAAATGGACATTTCAAACTAAAACAGGCTCCTGGGGTTGCCCCGACTCCCTGGCTGTAATCAGCGTGATGGAGCCCAGTTGTCTTGGGTTGTCTTCCAGGGAAATGGAGATTCACAAAATGACTTTGCAGAGGAGAACACGCAGATCTGCACAATGAGCCAGTACTGAGCGTGGATAGAAAGGAAAACTGGGCTCTGCTGTCCTCGCGGAGCCCTCACAGGCTGGTGGGCACGGAGTCACATATTCCCCTGAGGCTGCCCTTCAGTAGGATTGCCATGGCCCTGGTGTGTTCACTAGGAGACCTCCTGGGGAAGACAGTCCCCGGAGAGGCCACCAAGCCTCAAAGCTGTAGTGCTATTTAAGTGCCCACTCCCTGCCCAGGGATTCACATGGGTGTCCTATAGCAGCGTCACAAGTCGTACCCATGGAGTGTGGGTTCCCTTGCCGCACTGGCACACACAGGAAGCACAGCTCCCCACTGGTTCCCTCCACCCCAAGGTCAGCCATCTTGCTTCACAGAGCCCTTGGAATGTTCCGGGCAGAGCAGGAGCTTTCTGTGCTTCACTGTGACCCTGACCCTGGTGGTACGGGCTGTTCTGCCCATGCCCTCGTGAGCCCGTGCCAGGGGGAGGCAGATCTTCCGTGCCTGCTCAGCTCCAAGCCCACTGACAGCCCTTCCTTTCTGAAACCCTCTGAGTCTGAAGCTCTCACTGGGTGCTGGCAAGTTATGGCAACACCTTGGGTGGTGTTGACACCATGTTGCAGCTCTGTTTCTGCCTGTGGTTGAAGAGCTGTGCATCTCTCTCTCTCTCTTTAAAATCACACGGATAGGGGCTGGGGTTGTGGCTCAGCGGTAGAGTGCTCACCTGTCACGTTCGAGGCCCTGGGTTCAGACCTCAGCATCACATAAAAATAAATAAAAATAAAGATATTGTGTCCAACTATAACTAAAAATAAATATTAAAAAATTACAAAAAAAATAAATTCACAAGGATAACATACAACTAGAAAAAGTGGCCTGAGTCGCACTGGTATAACTAAAAAATTGCTTGGTGAGTTTTATCTGCTCTTTCCAGGAGGCAATAAAGAGGAAAATTTTAAGTAAATAAATAAATAAATAAAAACTCCCATCCAAAGAGCATCACTAAACACGTTACTTGGGGACAGCACAGTCATCTTGGAATTGACTCTGTTTTCCTTGGGTTGTCTGAAGAACACTTTCCTGGGCCTGACTCCGTGGCTGCTTGTGATCAGAGACATAGAGATGACAGAGATCTGACTGGGGCCACCTCCTGCTAGCTGGTGGGAGTGGGTCTGTCTCTGCATCTGCTCATTCGAAGCCTCACCTCCGTGGGGCGAGGTGGAGCCGGCCAGGGGCTGGAGGGGGGGCCCCGGGAGTGCTCCCCCAGGTGATTTCTTCATGAATCCTCACCTAGCCAGCCCTGGCCTCTGGGATCTTTGATGGTTTCCTAGAGCTCAGCTCTTCTTCTTCTCCCCGGCAGGACTTGTACCACCAGTCGTACGACTGTGTCTGCGTCATGTTCGCCTCCATTCCGGATTTCAAAGAATTCTACACGGAGTCAGATGTGAACAAGGAGGGCTTAGAATGCCTTCGGCTCCTGAACGAGATCATCGCGGACTTTGATGATGTAGGTCTGGGGGTTACCCCTCAAGGGCAGGGCCCAGTCCCCCATGTCAAGATTCCAGTGCACTTCGGTGAACTCAGTATAGTAACATACCTAAAGACATGTCCTCTGGCTTAACTTCTGATGGTTGGAGCTAAGACATGTGCTGTATTGAAGCAATAATTTGGGAGAGACAGAAACATTTTATTTGTGAAGCTGATGATGATTGCTAGAGACAGCTACCAAAATCTGTATCCTGCACACTAGTAAATTTTCTACCAAGTCTTGACCTTCAGGGAAAATATTTCCCCACCCTTTTGTATGTTAAAATATAATGAATCTATTTATTATAGTAGATTGTTGGCATGTCTGTGCACACTTCAAGGTCTTTGTCAGACATCAACTTGAGCTAGGTATGAATGACATGCTTTATTATTGACAAAGCAATATGTGGGTGGGATAATGCATCACATTTTAGAAAGGACAAAGTATACATTTTAGAATTTGAAATAGGTGTCATTTTTCAACTTTCAATATTCTGTCTACATAGAGAATAATGTGTTCTATTTTCCAAGAAGGACAAACGTGTCTCCCGTTTTAAGGGTATTGCAACTACACTACTCTTATCATTATCATGCAAACTAGAGGGACAGTGACATCCATGAGCATATGTTCAGTTTAATTCATAGAATTTTGAAATACAGAGATGAGATTATATAACACAATGGTTTTCAAATCCACCTGGTTCTTTTTTGTTCTTTTTACATTTTTTTTATTGGTGCATTACGACGAACCTAGTTCTGACTATCTTTGAGTCCTGTGTGTTTTCTCCTACTGCCGTCCTCAATATGAGGTTTCCTGAATATTCATGGAGAAGTTATGACAACCAAAGATGTCTACCATTATCCCTAGTGCCTAGTAAAAAGAGGTCGTGCAAGCTTGCTTCAGCTGCCCCTCAGGAATATAGCTTGTGCTGAGAGCAAGTGACAGTGGGAATGTGGATATGCAATCCAGGGATTTGCTCCCTGGCTTACGTTCTTTGACATGTAACCCTAAAAGAACCTTCTCTGAAATCAGGAGTACTGAGGAGGGAGCAAGAAAGGGCTCTGGTCTTTAGTTGGTGCCATTCATTTGAGCCCTGCCCCTCTGGAGCAGATACAGAACCTTCCAGAGTTTCCACCCATCCTCCCTCTGCCCTACAGCTTCTGTCTGGGAAGCTTCTAGCTCTTAACTTTCGGTCATCCCATCCCAAACCTTGAAGTCATGGAATGGGGAGAAGTCACCTGGGAAGCAGGCAACCAGCACTTGGACCAGAAATATTAGGGCTGATGGAGGAGCCTTTCTAGATCTCTGTTCTTTCCGACTGAGGCCAAAGTCCAATCCTCAGCATGACCATTGGTCACGTATCATCCCGACCCTGCAGGGAAGACTTCCCTCACTGAATCAGAATTTCATGTGATACTTTTCAAACATTGAGTCAGGAAAGTTGAGGCCATTTTCACTTGCCTCATATCTTACCCTGGTTCCTTCTCTAGCCAAGGTCATTCAGGTTCATGGGTAGCAATTCCCTGTGCTCTGTTCCTCCCAAGGCCATGCCCTTGTGGATCTCCCCCAGCAAAGTCCCAGGTCAAGGTGGTGACGGTGGTTGAGACAAGCCTTGTTCGCTTTGCTGTGCACTCGTGTTTGAGAAGGGCTTGGCTTTGGGTCCATGTCCATCTAAGTAACTGAATGACTCTCATCATTTGCAGCTGCTGTCCAAGCCAAAATTCAGCGGTGTTGAAAAAATCAAGACCATCGGCAGCACCTACATGGCAGCCACGGGTCTGAGCGCTGTGCCCAGCCAGGAGCACGCCCAGGTACGGACGCGTCCGCCACCACTTGTGCATGCCAGCCTCGGCTCTGTGCACAAATCATCCTGGAGGCACAGAGACCGAGAGACCACTGAGTATACAACCTAAGCAATCTAAGCCATCCAATGAAAAAGAGAATTCTGGAGGCTTCACAGGGTCTGAGGGTCTGTCCTAGGACTCCAGTAAAGGAACATAAGAAAAGCCAATCAGTAGCTGATGAGAACAGATATACCATGTATCTCTTATATAACAGATATGCGATGCAGTGAAGAGGAAAACTGTTTATCTCAAGGACGCTCAGTAAGGATGGTCCTGGTCCTTTTATTTAAGCTGTGCAGTTAAAACCCAGTTGGTCACATAGGAATTTGGTTGAAAAGATGGTTTGGGCAAAATCGGGTGTCAGCACTCCACTGGGGATCCTAGGAGATCATCTTCATGTTGTATTTGCATGTAGACAAGGGGTCCATAAGGAAGCCCCCTCTTTCCCCTCAGGAGAGTGGATCTTCTGCCTGACTCTCAGCACAGGTTTTCTGTGCAGCCTGCCCTCTGCTGGATGCAGCACAGAGCAATAGAGCTTACCAGAACTCAGCTTTCTGAAGACAGGTAGAGGGAGCAGCCCAGCCCCACTTGCCTATCCTCTCTTCCCACACTCACCTGGTGTGGGAGGAGCCAGAGGCCAGGTGTCAGAGCAGAGCCGCTCCTCCAGCAGCTGACGGGTCTGACTTCCCTCCTAACAGTCCTGGGCAAAGAACAGGAGGTGGAAGTTCTGCCTCAAGTTGGAACTCTCCTGCTTTTCTAAGGGAACGAGACAATACATGCTCCACCTGTTCTCCTCTTCAGGTGGTGATTTTCAGTGTCATGTTTATGGGTAGGCATTGCTCTGCTACTAAGTGGAAGAGGCAAAGGAAGCAAGCGATACCAGAAACCTTAGAGAGATCTTCCCCTTATATTCTGAGCAGCCCATCCCAGCCAGCTTGGAGCCCGAGGCAGAAGGAAAACAGTTCATCCTGGGCCTGGTGGTGGTTAAAGGTTTGAAGTACCGAAAACTGGCGAATACTCTTCATGTCTAAAGGACTGAAAAAATCCAGAGGAAAATGTAAAACGGAGGTTTTTAAACGTAACATTGTTGGAATTTTAAATCCCTTAATCCCTTACCAAGAAAACTAATTATCATTTTACTTTCCTGACTTTAATGGAACAAACTTATACTTTTTCAATGCCTTTAAAGTCCTGGGAAAACTGAACCATTAAAAATAACATGAGAACATGAATTCAGGGACAGACGATCTTCTTTTTGCCTCAGGCTCGAAGATGCTCCGCACAGCATTGCCAGGACGGTCTGTCCTCGTCCATGCGGCTGTCGTAGCAGCAGACCACAGAACAGGCCCTTCTAAGTGCTCACTGCTCTGAAGCTGGGGAGTCCAAGGTGGAGAGGATATACAATTCAGCCTACAGCACTTTCTTTAGAACTTCATTATTTCAGTTCACCCTGAATTTTTCTGCGTTGGTTTTGATTTTTAAAACATGGCATTAGAATATTATTTGTCAAGGTTGCTGCGCTCTTTGGCGCCCCCTGAAGCCAACAGCTATTACCAGCAGAATCCAGGAGTGGCAGTGTTTCTGCAGGAGAAAATTTTGGACAGGATATGAAATGTAGTCAAAATATAGCAGAGTTTATTAGGAAGGAAAGCACTCTCAAGAAGAAGGGAGAGGGTCATCTCTAAGAGGAGAGAGCAATGATGTGCCCCTTTGCTACCCAGTTTTATTGGCAGGGGGGAGGGTCTTAGGGAAGTTTCTAGAGACCTGCTCAGGTACCACTCCTCACCTTTTGACGGACAGTAGAATAGCCTGAGATTTTTAAAGTTCCTACTGCTCATGATTTTATCCATAGGTTCCCAAGTGCAACCCATGAGGATTGGGATTGTACCATTTTAATGAGTTCAAAATGATATGCTAAAGGCAGCCCTGGGTCACCCTGGCCCACACTGATGGGTTCGAATTGGAACTTGCATTGTTTGACAGATGTAATGGTCAGTGGGTCTTGCTTTCCGTTATCCTGTCCTCCTGGGTCTTGGAATCTTTGGTCTCTGTGAAGGTGACAGAGGACCTCTTTCAGGGTAAAGCATTCTTAGGGACAGGAAGGAGTCTGGGGATCTGAATTCCTTGGCCCTGGGGAAACAGCCCAGAGGACAGCAGATTGTTTGAGCAATGTCACATCCATTCTGTTCACTGAAGCCACAGTAGGTCTGACGGCCTAGGTAAACTGCCTTTTCTTTTTTAATTGGGTATCAGTCATTTTCTACAGTTTTATTGGTTCGTATCGGCTATACATAACATGAAGATCGTCTCAGAAATGCATGGAATATAATTTGCTCCTAAGTCAGTCCCGAGTCCTTCCCCTCCCTTTCTCCTCCCCGGTCCCTTTCATACAATTGCTCTGTACAGGAAGCATGTGGAGGGCCCGAGGGTCCACAGCATCGTGCCCTTAACTTCATGCTCCTGCCCCTCACCCTGACCCAGCAGGGACCAGCCTCGTCACCCCCCTCACCTGCTCTAGACCCGAACCCCTGAGTGGGACCCTCATGATTTCCATGAAGACATCCCACATCCAGAGTGGGAGGCAGCCCTCCTCACCCCCTCCAGCCCACCACGTCCTCAGACCTTGGCCTCCAAGATCCTCAGGAGCGGTCTCTAGGCTTCTCTCTTGTGTTGGCAGTCGGGTTCTGGGCACTGACAGTCCGTATCCACTGTCCTTATTCTTTTCCCTCGACTTTTCCTCTAACCCCCACCCCCTAATTCTGCCTCAGTACTGCCAGAGTCAGAAATTTCACTCCTTTTTTTCTTTTTTCTTGTTACCAAGGAATGAACCCAGTGGTGCTTCACCAGTGAGCCACATCCCAGCCCTTTTAAATATTTTGTTTAGAGACAGGGTGTTTGACTGAATTGTTTTAGGACCGTACTAAATTGTCGAGGCTGGCTTTGAACTCACAATCCTCCTGTCTCAGCCTCCTGAGCCACTGGGTTTAAAGGCATGTACTACCGTACCTGGAAGAAATTCCACTCTTGATCAAAACTGTTTTCAAAGTACAAAACTCAAATCTGATTGCCTCCTCTAAGCACTCATCCTCCAAGTCCTGTCTGTGGCCCCAAACTCGGAGGATGAGTGCTTAGAGGAGGCAGTGAGATACTCCTCACCAACGCCCAGAAATCCTCTGCTTCCCAGCTTCCTCAGCCTCTCCCACCTGAGCTCCTCCTCTGCAGAACAAGGTTATGTTCTCTCTCTAACTGTCTCCTCTCCTTCAGGATCTCACCCAAGACCTTCTCCACTCCTCTACTTCTGTGAGCCCCACTGAAACCATTATCCACTGACCTGACCATGGGGCCACCATGGGGCCAAGCTGGGATGTCACTTGCAGCTTCCTGTGGACACCCAGATTTCTCATTTTACCCTGTCTTCTTCCTGTCCTCCCAGCTCCCCAAACGAGCCGGGTTCCACACCTGCAGCCACCACCCGACTGCCGCCCTCCTCTCCCTGCAATCCAGGCACAGAACAGCTGCAGTTCTGCATGCTTCCCTGCCACCCGGGGTGCACCCAGCCAGCACAGCCCCACCCGTCACCACGGCTACGAGCCACTTCATGGTCACCCCCAAGCCTGCTGTTTTTGAGGGCAGCCTGAGCTGGCCATTTCCTCCACTTCCCCCGTCCCATGATTGACACATGCCGAGGATGTGCCAGCCCACGAGGAGCCTTTCCAGGTCTTGCCCCCAGCAGGACCAAGGCTCCTCCACCTTCCTGGAAGGTGACCCCTGACACTGTCGTCCCTCTTCCTCTCTCCCCTGCCACTTCTCCAGCCCTCTCCCACCTGCCACGGCCATCCCTGCACCCAGCTCTTCGTATCTAAGTTCTTCCAGCCCTGCCTTGGCAAATCACTCTTGGCCAGGATCCCATCCCTCCGCCCGCATCACCACACAGTGCAACTCGCCTCTCCAGGCCTGACTGCCCAGTGATCCACACCAGGCACCTGTTACCAGGGAGTGTTTTCAGGGTGAAGAAGAAAGAGCATGGCTTCCAAATGAGCACGCTCACTACCCTCATCGCCAAGTCCCCCAAGTCCCATGTTCCTTCCACATAAAGTGAACACCCCAGTTCATGAGGCTGTTGAGAAAATGACTTTAACACGAAAACTATGTGCCAGACTCCTCGGCCACGGTAGATGATAAACGTTCCTGGCAATGATGAGACGGTGGGGTTCATACTCTGTTTTGCAGATTGATACCGTTGCCCTCTCCAACGGAACAGAGTTAAAGCTTTGTTTGACATAAATGAAAACAATATGTCATTATGATATCCATGCAGGAAATTTCTACTCAATGCTAGCTATTTACGATTACAGCTTTTAATTAGAAACTTAGAAAGGTCGACCTTAAGTGCAATGACACTTGATTGGGGGAAAATACCATGCTCAAAAAATGTTAATGCTAATATTAGATATCTTATAGAAATGAATGTCACTATTATCTTTATTAACTTACCTGAAATGAGCTTAGGAGTTTGTTTCTCTAGTTTACAGCAAAATACAATTTATGGCTTAAACAATTATTTTTGTAACCAAAGAAATTCAATTTGCAAAATATAGGCTTCCCAACGATTCATGAGATTTTCTTAAATATAAAAATTATCTGAATAACAGCCTTTTGAAATTGAGCTTCATTTGCGATCACCTCTGCCTTTCCTATTTGCCGGAGCCACGTTCTTATCCATCCAGAAACCAGGGCCTAGGAACCCCCCAGTGCCCGGTCAGGACAGAGCCGCGGCCGCTCCAGCTGCCCCGAGTTTCCATTTCCTGAATGAGACAGTGACCTCTCAGCATGACACACAGTGACTGGGAGATGGCATGAATGTCAGGACTGAGGGCTGTTTGAAAGCAGCGGGGCTCGTCGAGCAGTGGGGAGCACAGGGATGAACCCTGCTCCCAGGGTCCCTCGCAGGCGCCTGGCTGGCCAGA